TAAACCAACAAATGATATAAGGGTATACTTTCCATAAATGTTTTTTCTTACCAGCTGGATTGCAACACAAGGTGGTGAGAAGAAGATTCCTCTCAGGAGAAACAATAGTACCAAACCACAAACCAACTCTTCTCCAAATAAATAAGCAAAAGGGCAGGAGAAAAATATATGTTCAATGGTCTCCTCCACCGTCAAACACAAACAACACCTGGAGTCAATTCTCAAACCTTTCATCTTAAGAATATCATCACAAGGAATGATAGAGTGAAAAATACGCCAGACGAAGAAAGACATCGGCGGAGTTAAAGCCCAACTCTACACCCCTTCCCCTAAAGGGGTGTTTTGAAAATTATAACGAGAAGAATATAAAGATTTAGTAATAGAGTTTGTCATGGGTATATTCAAATAAGGAGTATCTTGTGGAAATGAAATTAGTTCCCTCCAAACCCAAAAGGCTAGTGAGTAGAGGGAGATTCCAATGGCCATCAACCCAAACATCCGAAACTTTGAGATTAGAGAACCGCGTATCCCTCATATTCAACAAAGCATGAGACCAACAATCGTGCCAGAAAGATAGGTTACCTCCCCCCACCTCCCAATAAATGAATTTCCTCGCCCAATCTCTAACATTAAGCATTCTCTTCCACATCGTGGAATTGCCCAGTCGCCAATGTATCACAGCAAGATGAGAGAAACGACAGTACTTCCCATGCATAACGTTGGCCCATAACGACTCATTTTTCTTGAAATTGAACCATTGCTTGAAAATATTAATATCAGTCATATGATGCAGAGATTTGAAACCCAAACCACCGACACTTATACAAACATCCTTCCAAGGTAACCATCTTTTACCATAATGATTTCCCACCCATAAGAACTTATTGAAACATCTTTCAACAGTCAAAATAGTGCTCTTTTTGGGTTGAAGAACTTGGAGAATATATAAAGGAAGAGAGTGAAGTATGCTTCTTAACAGAGTAATACGACCCTCAAAGGAAGGAAATTATTTTTCCAAATCAAGATTCTTTTTCGAATCTTCTCCACAACCTCGTCAAACTGTATACACTCTTCTTGCCTTTAAGGATGAACACCTCCAGATATTTAAGTAATATATATATATATATATATCTCCCGAACAAATTCGACATTCCAGACGCGCTCAAACAATCAATTTTGCGATCGAAGGTCATTTGAGCAACTTTTAGTGATGGTCAAGACTAATTGGGTCCAAATTGTATGTGCCATGCTACTGGTCCGTCGATTTCATGGTGTACTTACTCCTTTCGATCATAAAATACCCTTGATTAATTTTGATGTTTTGAATGCAACTTCGAGGTCTGTTTTTGTAGGCAGGCACTATTTAAGATGAAGTTGACAATCCAAATTGATTGTGAAGTGTCACACTCTTCAGCTGCTACTCTGACCATGTCTAATCAACTCGTCCTATGAAATATATATGATTGTCAACAGTAGTATGGGGGTAGGAATTGTCACCGTACTTCTCTCTTCATCTTCTCCCATGTTGCAATCTTGCACCATCCTTCTCTGTTTCTCTCATTCTTCAAGTTCTTCCACCACAACAAGGTACTCCTTTTCGTGTTGATTGTAGCTAGTTTCACTTTTCGGTATTTGTCACCTCTTTATATTCAAAGAACCTCTTGACGGTTTTCAACCGCTTGAAATCATCCAGATTCATTTTTCCTCGAAATCTAGAATGTCCCTTTTCACTCTCGAGCATCTGTATCTTTTAACAGACACTTCATCTCTATATCTTCAAAGAGACACTTTATATTTGTATTCTCTAACAGACACTTCATCTCCTGATCTCCTCTGATACTGCATCCCAAAGCGTCGTGACCTGCTTTCTTCTCCACCAGAATCATCCCTATGCAAGGTATTCGGGTGCAAGAAAAAGCAAGACGATTGTTTCTCTGGTGCCGGACAACAAGCAATCAGCCTGGAGTAATGTGGTAGGGTTGTTTAGGGTGATGAAAGCAAGGATGGATGGTTGAAATGGTTGCTGTAACAAAGAGGAAGGGCAGCGGCAACTAGGTTGGTTTTGGTGGACTGCATGACATCGAAAGTGTGGATGTTCGGGATGAGGGCAACTATGAAAAGTGGGAAAACTGTAGGATGAACAGCAAAAGGCTACTGTCCAGGTGGCTGCAGCAAGAAGGAATGCGTGACAGCTAAGTTGGAGGGATGTGGAGGAGTTGGGGAAGGATAAATCACTGCATCGAGAGTGAGATATTACAAATCACCACTCAATCCTCAGATATAGCCCTAGAAGGGAGAAACAAACACTATCAGCTTTCCTGAACACGCTCACATAAAAACTAACTTTCAAACCCTCATAAACCACATATATAAGAAATGACTAAAAATGAATGAAGGATAATATGAAAGAAAGCAAAAAAAAAAAAAAAACTGGTCTGTTTGGGTCTGTCCCTTCTCCTGTGCCCCTTCTGCGCTTCCGCGGAACACAAAAGCATCGCTCTGCCATTATCGTTAGTTGTTGCTACTTGTTGTCGGCCACCATCCTACCATAATTTGACCACCGTTATTGTTCTACAGGCAACATAAATCAAATTATTCGACACCCATTAAAATATTAATAAGTACTTTTAAAATACAAAATATGTTTTATTCCAAATCAGAATAAAAACAAAACAAAATAAGAGCAAAAGGTAAATAAAAAAAAGTGATCTCAAATGACCCTTAGTATTTCATTAACAATTTTTTTATCAAAGAAAGCATAAAAATGGAAAACAAGGCCGTTTTGGTTTGTCCCTTCTCCTGCACCCCTTTGGAACGCAGGAGCATTGCTCTGCCGTTATCTTCAACTATTGCTACTTGTCGTCGGCTACCAGCCTGCCATGATTTGACCACCGTTGTTGTTCTACTAGTGACCTAAATCAAATTATTCAATACCATTAAAAAAATAAAAATGTTTTATTTTTTTTAATATGAATCTCTTTTATATTTTTTTATAACAAATAACTCCATTATTGAACAAATAGTGTTTCCATTATTAGGTGAGTGCATTTTCTATGGATATTTATGTACAGCTGAAGTTTGCCCTCTTTAATTACGAGGAAAAAATAAAGAAATTATCGTGTATAAATGGTGAATTTAATATTTGTGAAGTGCATAGTTTCCTTGCAACTAAGGGGCATATTTTCCAATCTCTTGACAGGAAATTCAAGCAGTTAAAGATGGAAATGATGGTTCTATACCTTCAGATTTTAAACACACTCCTGTTGATTGCCTTGCAATTGTTCCACTTCGACGTCACAAAGGAAGCACAGATTCAATAAATCAAACAAATGCAACAGATAAATCGGGCTTGTCCAAGATTGACAAGACTGGATTTATACAGAAGGATGGCTGTGCGTCCATGTTTCACGGTGCTCTTTGCAGAAAGAAAGGGAGCTTTCTTAGTTCAAAGAGTAAGCGCCTAAGGATTGAAAGTGAGGAATCAATAGAGTTGAAGTTAACATGGGAGGAGGCTCAAATTCTACTCCGCCCTGCTTCTAATGAAGCAGCCAGTGTTTTCAGTTTTGAAGGCCATGACTTTGATGAATATGAGGTACAATCCCTAGATTAGACATTCAATAGATAATGCTAATCAATTTGAAGAAAATTAACATAAATTTAAATATGAATTTGCACTTTTAGCATAATTGAATTGTGTGGCCATTCTGCTGTCCCTTGCATTTTCAATGCATGAAATTTTTGTTCATTCTTTTATATAAATACTCTTATTCTGTCATGATTTGTTGATTTACTGCTGTTTATTGGAATGAAAATCAATATATCAATTTAAAGCATTCGTTAGTGGTATTCTAAAACTTAAATTTTATTAGAGGGTAAGACATTGCTTTGTATGGAAAAAATAGGTCTTAGAGTTTAAAGAATTTTGATATTTGCTCTTTGGTTTTTGTGCTTTAGGAATGTTATATCCTCGCTCATAATGTAGTTCTATTCTTGCAGTTGGTCGATTCTCCTCGACATTGTTTCCAACATTGAAGCCAGCGATCTCTCCTTACAGTCAACCATTATGGAGAGCTACTATTCTCCAATGCCTCTTATCGTTTTCCATCCAAATTTAGTATTAACCATCCCCTTCCATTCCCAAACTCCCCTAGATCCCAATCTTACTAAAACACTTCATCGAGAAAATTTAGATTGATGTCCACTTGTTATCAGAGCCAAATTCCTTCTCTAACTCTAGTTCTCTTCGTTGATCGAAGTTTTATATTCAAAACCCTAAATCCTCAAAACTTATTGCTTCGTACCTCCACTAAATTCCCTCAAAACCTTTAATTGCAGCAAACGCCTGATGAATTTAAAAGAAAACGATCTAAGGAATTTACCAATAACCATAATGGTTTCCCACCGGATGGAGGGGAGGAAACTAGCCCTTCCACTAAGAGGTCTTCAATGGTAAGGAAATTTGGCATGAAATATCAGAGGAGTAATGACTTTGAGGTGAACATTTGCTTATTAGATTTTTAAAGTCATGAATTTGTTCTAGCTCAATGAAAGACTTTAAACCGTGGATTGAATATTTGAGTAAAAAAATATTCGGCAAATTAAGGGAGTCAAATTTGTTGTCACGATTCGACTTGGAACTTAAAATTAATCGAGGTGCGAACGGATGATTGGATAGTGTAATTAAATTTTTTATTATTTTATTTCTATCATTCACTGTTTAATAGTTAAATATATATTAAAGGAACCACTAGAGAAAATAACTTAATTGATAAGTAAAAAATTTTATCATTCTACTTGCTAATCTCACCTTCTAAATACATTATCTTATTTAGAATTCATTTTATCTAGAAGCTTAACCTGAAAAAATATTAAAATAATATAATAAGTTATTTAAAGATATCCCAAGCACAATCACACGTCTAGATTACAGTAACTCTAAAAAAAAAATAAAATGCATGTTAGTTTTTCATATTTCACCTAAAAATTTTATAATAATCTAAAATGTATGTGTCCATAACATTTATTTGATCGAAATAACTTAAACTTCAATATGCATTAATTTTAACTATACTCATTAAGGTTTAATCTTTAGCTTTGCTTTTACTTCATGTTATTAACATTCATATCTGTCTTAGGAGTACTATCAAAATGTAAATTACACACTTTACTCGATGTTATCATGTTGACATAGTGGTTTGTGATCTAATTTACACGATTGTCTAAGGTTGAAATGTGCTTACTTGCACTTGGTCTATATTCTTTCATTGACATTGCGGTTAGCAATCTTCACATCATAATTCTCTAGGCTGAGAGAATAGCATTTACATGTATGGGTACAAGTCTCTTCCTTGTACCATAAAGTTGTTCCCTTAGTGGAGCAGACCGAGAGGTCATATGGCCTTAGTAACATCGAGATTGGTGGCTAAAAAGTTAAAGACGTTCTCATAGAAGAACCAGCTAGAAAGTCGTACGCTTCGAGAGGCTTCAAGATCAAATGGCCGCAAAACCCGACGTACCTCGAAACAATGTCTTATCATTTAAGGGCCGACCAAGTGAAAGGATAGTTCCATTAATTGGAACATCAAACGATCAGGGAGGTTTGCATCCCGACCAAATAATCTTGGAGGAATGTATCCCAACTATACATCAAATAAGTGGGAAATATATATCCCATTCGAATATATCAAATAACAAAGCAGGTATGTATTATGGCCATGAAGCAAATAGGACAAAAGTTATGTATTTTGCCTATGTGAAAACAAAGTCGGGCATCAAGGTGCTTTGACAAAACATGAATCAGTGGTAAGACTGATATAACATATTACCCGACTTGGCGGACAAAACCAACCAAAACAGTCAGAACTATCAAAATAGGACTGGAGATAAGTATTCTGCTTATGGGTATCAAATGACACAGGAGGTATGTATCCTGACCCTGCATCAAGCGAGCAAATGTACGACTAAATAGCCTGAGATGACATGCTCGGAATATAGTCAGATATCAAAGCATTCTTATTAAACATGGATAAGTGGTAAAGCCGATACAACATGTTACTCGATGTGGCGGACAAAACCAACCAAAACAGTCGAAACTATCAAATAAGACAGGAGGGTTGATATCCTGTCTATGCATTGGTGAGCGACCATACGATTAAATAGTCTGAGGTAATGTGCTCAAAACAGAGTCGGGCATCAAAGTGGCCTGACGAAATATGGATCAGTGGTATATACATGTTCTCGACTTGGCGGAAAGAACCAACCGTAGCAATCGTGAAATGTTGGACATACAAAGCGATCTGACAAGGAGAGATGCTTCCTTAAAGGGTATCTATCTCGGCTGATCGAGGTAATCCTATCCAGCATCAAAACACAGTCGGTCAGCAAAGTGCTCCGACAAAATATTGATCAGTGATAAAACCGATATGACATGTCATTTGACTTGGTGGACAAAACCAACGAAAACATTTGAGAAAACAATATGGTTGTATGATCAGGATGATCTAACTATAGGAGTGCTTTCACGAGCATTGACTAGATGACTTTCGTTGGGGATTCTCTCATTTAGCAAACTAATTCTTTCTGGGGAGGCATCGAGTGTCTCGATGCTGATATGGATCAGTTGAGCGATTGATACAATGTCATTCGACGGGGCCAACATAACCAACCAAACTGATCGAACTTATCAATGAAGTTATATGAGCTAGAACGGTCCAACCACAGGAGTGCTTTAAGTAAGTTCTAGCGAGATGACTCTTAGTAGAGATTCTCCCGGGTTGCCCTTGGTAGGGAGGCATCAGATGTCTCGATGCAGACATGAATCAGTTGAATGATTCATACAATATGTTATTCGACGGGGCGGAAAAAACAAACAAAATTGATCAAAATTATCTTCTAGGTTGGACTAACAGGTCCAATTGTAGGTTGTTTTAAGCAAGCACTAGCGAAGTAACAGGTTCCTAAGAACCAGCAAAGTAGCTATCGCTCGGGAGAGCTTAATAGATATTTCTCGCGAGAACTGGCCAAAGCAATTCTCGTCGGGGAAAATACCGGGGCAAACATCAAACATCAATAGTGACTCTAAATAAGAATATGGATTGGTGGCAAAGCCGATGCGACCTATAGTTCTGACAAGGCAATGAAAATTAACCGAGTCGAGAATATCAAAGAGGGTGGATGGCTAAAACATACCAGCCCTATAAGTGATACTGTCAACAGAAATTTTTGGTAGAGTGAATTCCGTTGGGGGATTATCGCAGTATACTTGGTTGGTCATGACATGGCACTCCAACCAGAGGGTATTTGGCACTCAGGCCAACCCGGCAGCATCCCTCAAATAAGGGGAAGACGCACACTCGTCTGAAGTGAGTGGGGACGAGCGTATCCTATTTCATCCATGATGGATGGGACGTGCTTGATTCAAACCCTATGTAGAATGGGTAACCGAAAAGCGTGCTAGGAAAGTGCAAGGATCTCCTGCATTTGACATATATCAATCAAAATTCACTCCCATCAATTAAGATATTGCGAAGGTTAGCTAGGAAAGATGCGCTAATCATAGAATGCTTAGCCATAAAGCTAAGCTCATCTCTCTTGAAAGAGGGTATCTTCTACTCTCACTACAACGAGAGGGATGACCGTATTTGTCATACTCATTTATGATGGGTGGCACACGGTCGTTTGGACGTGCTCGAAGTGTGGAACCAAAGAGAAGATAAGAGAAGCTTGTGGCTTCTCTTACACCGATTACTAGATGCACCGTGTATAGGCCGTTCGTACGACTTTCACTTTGCCTGTATGACAATTCAATAATTTATTTTAAGGGATGCACAAGACCTCTCTTATGTGCGATAAAGCATAGAAAAGGTGAACGTACGATATGTCATAGAACATGCTCGCAAAGGAAGCTAGTCAACTTCTAAATGAAGGACTGCTACACTCGAGGGTCAACAAATGAATTGCAAAGGTGGTGGGTGAAGAATTCACACAAAGGGCAAGCCGACTTCTGAAGGAAGGACTGTCGGGACCCAATGGTCAACGCATGAAGCGTAAAACACATGGGTGGAATCCCATGGACAGGTGTCGACCGCTAAAAAATTATTCAAGATTCAAGATAGAAGATGTGGTTTTGATTTAATTTAATACACATATAAATTTGATTTTTTAGTAAAATAGTATTTTAATTTTGCAAAATAATGCCTTAATTTTGAACATACGAGACCGAACCGATCTCATATAAACAATAGTTTAAATAAACGAGCACGACACCACAAGTGATATGTCTATCCTGAGAGATATACGTATTACTTACTAGTGGGGTCCGATTAAATAAACTAAAAAATTTATGACATCCGTTTGGTCTGCGAATTATTTTTGTGTAAGCCGACAAGTTCCCTTATCGAATTTGGAAGATTATGTAGGGTTTATATTACCTGAGTTCTTAAAGCTCTCTATAGAGGCAAACCCCTATGGTTAATTACATCTTAAATGATCAAGACCACCTAAGAAAATTCTCGATTTAGATCAGAAAGTATTGTCCCCAAGAATTTCAAATGATAGGACTTTTTAAAAATCGGACCAAGAATTGTCAAATGG